ACACTGTCAGTGTTGAGTTTGTCAGTGTGGGTTTGTTTTTATAGCGCTCGTTGTACTCAGTGGCTATAAATTTAGAATACAATCACACTGTCAGTGTTGAGTTTGTCAGTGTGGGTTTGTTTTTATAGCGCTCGTTGTACTCAGTGGCTATAAATTTAGAATACAATCATCTTTTTGCGGTTTTTTTTTTCTCTCACCAGAGGAAGGTCCATCATCCAAATCCAGTTTTTCTTGGATTGCTGTAACTTTATCCTGCAACGTACCTAATAGATAGAATTGGGTTGTGCTTTGGAAATGATCTGAAATAGATGAAGTATGATAAATTGCTAAAAGATAACCACCCGAATTTGCATAAAACTTTGCACCTAATATGCCAGATCAAGAATAATTGGGGATTCTTTTTTTTGCCTAAGGTTTTCGTAATGTTGCTTTTAATTGCTCTCCTAGTGAATAAAGAGAATAGGAATAAATCCGGCCGACTAAACTCCACTAGGCTCAATACTTTAAAGACTTTGATTGCACCTCACTTCCTCGCTTACCTACTAAGGGAACATCCTTCATGTTCAGTTTTTTCTCAACAGAAGTAGCTTCACTCTTCTCTATAATAAAAATAACAACGAAATAATTTTCACTCTTTTCTGAGTTATCAACTCGTCAAAGAGGCAGTTCATGGACTAAACTTGTAATAGCGTGATTGATAAGTGGTGACTTAGATTGTCGAGAAACCAAGAATATTTCCTTTTCTTATTATAGTTGACAAACTTCCAGGTCTAGTTGTCTTATCATTGATAATTCTACAAAAAATCTAAAGAAGCTTTATGTTTCTTTCTCTCACCGGGTGAACTGTTGTCAGCAGAGTCCAGGCTTCCTTCAGCTGCTGCAGGGGAGGCTTGGTGACCAACTAAAATACAATAAATATTCATTAATACATTGCACGCAGCACCCTTGAGCAAGATGAAGCGAATCCTGTGGCTACCCGTGCGGTCGAAGATGGGCCCATCTTGCCCACCCAGGATTTTCCGCATCGATCCCGCGCATGAAAAATTTGAATTAGAACTATGTTCGTTATTCTTGTACAATGTCGGCGATGGAAACGCAAAAAGTTGCAGAAGAAAGTCTAACGAAAGGAAACAGAAACGACTCTCGTAAGTTTGTTATATTGCAAACACAGTTGGCTTTCTTTCCCGACTCAAAATAAACAGGTCACTCTTAATTCTTAATTAGGCGAAATTTCTTTGCAATAGAATAAATCCTTTATTAACCAAGCTTGTTCGGTCAAGGTGGCTGGATAATAGCATCGTTTTTCTTTTCACATTTTTATGGACCTCGACTTTGTCACGGTCCATAAAAGTGCGAAAAAAGAACTTGGTCAGTATCCAGCCATCTTGACCTCACGCATATATAGTAATAACACTCCTACTCGAGAGAAACTCAGGACTTTTGTTTTCTTCATCTCCTGATATATTCAAGGATTTTTTCCTTGATGTAAAAATATCTAAGACCGAAATCAGATTGAAAGTCAAAAAATTAAAACGCATGCTTATTATGCAGATTAAGGTTGTAAAATAATTTATTCCTTATCTCTGTCTTAAATATTGACCAACAGAAAGTTATGAAATCCATTTTCAATCTTTGAAAGCTCACTTGCCTTGTAACTTGTTTCCCAGTGTTTAATTGACGCCTAGGCTCACGCATATTATAAGTTTGCACTATTTACTTGTACCTGTTGATTTGCCGTCACCGTCATCTGACTCCTTGAATTCAAATTGACCTTGAAATGGTAAAGAAGAATATTTCACCTTAAGCAAACGAAATTTAGAGCCGTAATGATTCAGTTGTTTGCGTTTATTTTTATNTCTCTGTCTTAAATATTGACCAACAGAAAGTTACTCAATCGATTTTCAATCTTTGAAAGCTCACTTGCCTTGTAACTTGTTTCCCAGTGTTTAATTGACGCCTAGGCTCACGTATATTCTAAGTGTGCACTATTTACTTGTACCTGTTGATTTGCCGTCACCGTCATCTGACTCCTTGAATTCAAATTGACCTTGAAATGGTAAAGAAGAATATTCCACCTTAAGCAAAGGAAACTTAGAGCCATAATGATTCAGTTGTTTGCGTTTATTGTTATTTGCGTGTATTTTCAAAAGTCTTTTTGTAGTCACAAACTTCAGAAGTGAAATTCATTTGCTGTTTCATTTCTCTCACCTGATGAAAGCTCATCATCCAAATCCGCCTTCTCTTGATTTGCTGAATCTTTCCCTTTCAGGGTATCTAAAAATAAATAAAGAATCAGACATATTGGGCTGTTCTTTAGAAAGTTCCTTTCAACAATGAAAGATAACGAATTTCTAGAAAGTAACCGCCTACTCCGCATGCACCAAGAAAAATAATGGTATGTTTTTTCGCCCCTGTTATCTCTGTAGTGTTGGTTTTTATTGTTCTCAAGCGTTTCATTACTTTATTATGTACGGCTGTCTGTTTATTCATTTTAAACCAAAATTTAATTAATAAATCAGATTGATGATTGCAATACACTTCTACACTGTTTGAAGTTTAACTCAGTACCTGTGGAGCTGCCGATCTCTAAATCCTCTATTTTTCCAGGTGTCGACGACATTTGAGTCTTACCCGGCTCTAAAATTAAAAAAGAAAAAAGAAAAAAAAGAGGGGTTTGAATGATCGTCATCACCGTTTTCATCGTCATCAACAATATCATATTCTTGTTACTATTTATTTTTTCATTATCAATAGATTCTGTTTACTGTTCTCATAACAGAGAGATAAAAGAGTATGGAGATAAATCCGGCCAATTAAACTCCACTGGGCTCGATATTTTAAAGACTTTGATTGCACCTCACTTCCTCGCTTACCTGCTAAGGGAGCATCCTTCATGTTCAGTTTTTTCTCAAGAGAAGCAGCTTCACTTTTTTCTGTCAATTAATTTAGAAAGAAATAATTTTCAATCTTTTTTGAGTTATCAACTGATTAAAGAGGCAATTCATGGCCAAAATATGCGATAACGCGACTGATAAGTGGTCTCTTTGATTGTCGAGATACCAAGAATATTTGCTTAGCTCATGATAGTTGACAAACTTCCGCTTCCAGTTGTCTTATCATTGATGATACAAAAAATCTGACGAAGCTTTATTTCTTTTTCTTACCTGGTGAACTGTTTTCACCAAAGTCCAGACTTCCTTCAGTTGCTACAGTGGAGGCCTGGTGACCAACTAAAATACCAATACACATAAATAATAATAACAATCTAACTCATGAGAAACTCACGACTTTTGTTTTCTTCATCTCATAATATGTTGAAGGGTTTTCCCCTTGATGTAAAAATATCTAAGACCGAAATTAGTTGGAAAAGTGTAAACATTACATCGTATGGTTATTGTGCAGATTAAGGTTATAAAATAATTTCTTCTTTATTTCTATCTCAAATATTGACCCACAAAATGTCATTCAGTCCATGTCAAATCTTTCGAAGCTCACTTGCTTTCCCAGTGTTTAATTTAGGCTTAGGCTCACACATATTCTGAGTTTGTACTTATTACTTGTACCTATTGATTTGCCGTCACCGTCATCTGACTCCTTTAATCCAAATTGACCTTGAAATGGTAAAGAAAAATATTTTACTTTAAGCAAAGAAAATTTTGAACCGCAATGAATCAGTTCTAGTTGTTTGCGTTTAATTTATTTTCTTTAGGTCTTTTTGTAGTCACAAACTTAAGAAGTGCAATTCATTTGCTATTTTATTTCTTTCACCTGATGAAAGCTCATCATCCAAATCCACCTTTCCGTGGTTTGCTAAGTCTTTCCCTTTCAAAGTAGCTAAAATAAATTAAGAATCAAACATATTGCGCTGTTCTTAGGAAAGTTCCTTTAAACGATGAAGGATAATGAATTTCTAGAAAGTAACGGGGATGAGAGCATACA